AAAAATAAGGAAAGTGTAATTTTGGTTGACTTTCCAATTTTGCTCCTGATGTGATGGGAAAAAGTAAGATGTGATAGTTTAGTTATTAGTGATAAAGTATGATGTGATAGGTAAGGTATGAAAAAGTATGGGTAAAAGTGGGTTTTTAATAGAAAATTGAAGTGTTTTGTGGAAAAAAACGAAATGGGAAGGGTTTTGTGGAACGGAGGGAATATATTTTTAATACATAAACTTAATTTTTTAAAATTTAGCTTCAAATCTTTAATAAATAGAATAAAAAATCATTTCAACAAAACATTGTAACAGTCGATTTAAATTGAAACGACGAAAATATTATGTACATGCTTCCTTCGTTTCTTGTTCTGTAAATGCTTCCTTATTAGATCAACCCAGACAGTTGAATACTTTATATATGGATAATGCCGAGTACTCCCTCCGTCCCAAAAAGTCTGACACGTTTCGAAAAAACTGTGTTCCATAAAGTCCATAACATTTCTATTAAAAAACCACTTTTACCTCTTACTTTTTCATACCTTACCTATCACATCATACCTTTTTCCTAATAATCTACCCATCACATCCTACTTTTACCCATCACATCAAGGATATTTTTGGAAAGTCAACACCAAAATATCCTCCCTTAATTTCCCAAAAAGTTAATATGTACCAATTTTTTTGGGATGAAGGGAGTATATTTTATTTACGACTCTCCAGTCCTAAAAACATTTTATATTTTTACTTTTTCTGGTTAAGGGTAGAAATGGATATTAATCAGATTGGATGTGTCATTACCAAATCTATATCCATTTATTTTTGTCGGATATCGAATTCGAATACGGATTTTGACGGATACAGAAAATCAAAACCATATTCGCATCTGTCGGAAATCAGATATATCCATATCCATTTCCAATTTTTAAAATGAAACTAAATAATACTTTAATTTTACATTTGATTAAAATCAAACTATTATTAAATCAAGTATAATTTGTTATGAGATATTTGTTTTCTTTATTTTCATGATTTATGATATTCTACGATAACTTAATATAATAAAAGATATACATAGCACATATATACACATATTTTTATATGTCTGCACATATTTTTATGTGTCTACACATTTAATTTGTATATAAAAATGTCTTATACGTTGAAATATCAATAGATCGAGAAACAAAATATAAATATAAAAAAATTATATATAACGGATCGGATACTCAAATAAACGGTTATTTAAATGGATGCATATTCGTATAGGATTTTAAACGAATCGGATATACAATTACCAAATCTGTATCCGTTTAATAATCGGATATCCTTAATCGGATACGGATAATATCCGTTTAAAACGGATGCAGTTTATTCCTCATTAAACGGATACGGATGCGGACGGTAATCGAATTTTCGGCTATCCGTTGACAACCCTATTTTTGGTCAAACAACTACACTCTTGGATTATAAATTAAACATAATCCAATTAAATAAATGATACTCCCTCCGTCCCAAAAAGTCTTTCCTATTTCATTTTTTGCGCATCCCATAAAACACTTTTATCCCGCCTTGAATGCCAAAAAAAACTTTCAAAATAACTTCTACCCACAATAAAGAAGAAATGTTGTAAATTTTAGGCATTTTAGATGTCGGTAGAAGTGTTTTATGGGATGCGAAAAAAATGAAACAAGAAAGATTTTTTGGGACAGAGGGAGTATAAAATTTTGATATATCAAAACTATATTCTAAGACGAACCCAATAATATTGAATTTATATCATAATTAATGTACGTTTTACATAATTTATGGTCAAAGGTTATCATAGTTTGACAAAAAAATTAAAACATGAAAGATTTTTAGGACGGTTGAGAATAGTAATTAGTAATTACCTGCAAGCTTAGGTTAATTATTGTATGACGATAATGAAGTGCTATTGCACTAGCCATGATTTAGTTTATGGTGATACTCGATCTTTTTATTACTCCCTCCATCCTATAATGATCTTCCCAGAGCACTATTCCAACTTCACGGAAATTTATATTTATTTGTGTTTTTTCATGGCCTATATGATAAAATAAAATATTCTTGTCACCACTTGTTTTGTTGAACTTTTGGTGTAGCTTTTAAATATGTATTTTTTATTTCTATACCAATATTTAAATAAAATAGATTGAAAAAACTTGGGATTTTTCTTCGTTTTGCGAACCGGAAAGATCATTATAGGACGGAGGGAGTATTTGATTTTCTATATGTTTTTATATTCACCAATTTGTGTTATCAAAACATTTCCCACAAGTTGCACGTGAAGAGAGAGTGTTGAAAATTCTTTATCTTCCATTTGAATTTGGTAAACTTTAAACTTTATTGATTTCCAAGCTCCATGATATATTCCCTCCGTTCAAAATAGTTTCTCTATGTTTTTGTTTGTCTCAAAATAAACTTCTCATTCTATAAAAGAAATGGGAAATGTGGTTAATATCAGTCATCTCCTATCCATAAATTCCAAGCAAGCAATTTGAGTTTTTTTTTTAATTACGTGAAAAAACCAACACAAAAATTACTTTTAATATGGAGAAGTAATTTTTTTTCTTTAGCCTACAATGCTTGAGGTTAGTTATTAGTTCTTGACATTATTAGAATTTTAACTTAAACGCCACAAGTTTGAACCTTACCATAATATCATTATGAAATGTGAAATTTGCACTGAATAGAACTAAAACATAAGTCATTTCTCAATGTAGGACTTAAAATTTTTTATTCCCTAAATAGGACTTAATAATGACTAGTGGGAAGAATAATATCCAAGTAATGCTGGATATTTAGTTGAATAATGATTAATAGACAATGGCCAATGGTCCTACATTAAGAAATAAAAATATATGGTCTTATATTGAGAAAGCCTTTATGTTTTAGTCCTATTTAGGTCCTATATTTATGGTCCTCACATACATAAAGTTGCAATAATAAACTTGTGGTTGAGCTTGTTTGTTAACACTGCTCGAAAAAAGGAGCGGAAATCATTATATTTATGTTAAACAATCCCAAACCATCTCACAAGCATTCACATATAATGTTTTGAAGAAAAAAAATACATAGAGAAACATGCCTAAATCATCTCTCAAACACTACGAAACAACAGCCATGCCCCGTTTGGCATCAGCGTCAGAGATTAGCGTTAGCGTTTTGAAAAAGCTATCTGACGGTAGCCTTTAGCGTTAGCGTTTTCAGAATTAATCTGCACCATTAAAATTTTATCCAAAACGCTATTGCTAATCGAAAACTCCGTTGCCAAACAAAGCCACAATCACATGTAGGGAATTATTCCTAGAGGCAATGATGTTTTCAAAATTTCAGGTTTTGGATTGGATCATATTTTAAAGCCTTAGCTAAAATATGGACGTTGGCAAACAATGAGCCAATATAGTCCAATACTAGTTTCAAATTTGATAGCCCACTTAGGTCTTCCTAGAATTTGGGCCTTTTTTGGCTTGTACGAACTCTTTAGATCGAAAAGACAAAATAGAATCTTCATTTGTCAATCTCGCATTAATTCATGGGCAAAAAAATTAAAATAAAAGTAAAATATTAGAAAATCATAAAGTATGAGTTTCAATGTTTTTTTCAAAATAAGAGTTTGTCCTATGATAATGTGACATTGTATATAAATAATTAACAAATCTTTTTTGGTAATATATATGGTTATAATTGGCACTATATATGCATTTTACCTACAAAGATAATGTAATTTTTAGAAATGTTAGAAATAAAACTGTGTTTCGCAAAAAAAAGGATAAGATGTATTTTGCAAAGAGCTTAAATTTTCAAATTTATACCTTATTGGCAAGATAGTATGCATGAGTTTTTTAATTTTCTTATTCTCTTTGATTTTTTTCATATACTAAGGGTGTGTTTGGTGAGGAAACAAAATACGGAGTATGAGTTTTGATATCTTCAAATATCAAATTTTTTTTAGTTGTTTGGTGAAGCGAAAAAAAGATATCGAATTCAGTATCTCCAGATATCATAAATCCTTCAAATGGAGGGTATTGATATCTCCCGATATGTTTATTAATAGGAAAAAAAGTTTCAAATTTTATTGGTATCCGATCTAATTGGTTTCAAATCTTATCGATTTCGGATTTAAATCGAGTATGAATTATTTTGTTCAGTTTCACTTCGGTCCTAATCATTTCGAGTTTTCGGTTAAAGATCGAATCTTCACTTTTCAGATCAATCCGGTTTTGATTTTGGATGATTCCATTGGAGTAATCAATTCGAGTAAACATAATAGAGGAATGGTAGGGCGTAGGGGTATACCATTTGTTGTACCCCATTTGCATACCACTCATCATAATCCTCTATTTCTTTTTTTTTATTTTTAAATTTTTTTTCCTCTTACCTTTGTGTGATGAAGATGGAGGAGTACAAATGGAGCACCCAATTTGGTGGACCCCTATTACAGTAGTATTTTTGAACATAATACTCCTCCGGAATTCCAAACAAAAAAAAAAAGCGTAGACCCAAACCGGAAACCACGTCACTCCAAAAGAATCAAATCAAACGAAAACCCTAGCGAGTAGTAACGTCTTTCATACCGCACGATGACAGCAGGGAAGGAGTAAACAACAAAAGAGCCCCCCGCGGCCGGTCGCAACACGACCACCCATAAACAAACATACGAGACTCTCAGTCACTGTACCTGATCCATCATCTAGGGTTTATCCTAGTATTACCAATAATTCAACCTGCGACTCCACACGACCACACTTTATTAATTTTCTTCCCCATTATTATATTATTCTTCCATCTCTCTCTCTCTCTATATATATATATATATATAATTTCTCAGAGATCAAATACATATTTATACTTGTGTGTGTGTGTATATATATATATATATATATATATATATATATATATATATATATATATATATATATATACAACGAGCCATGGCCAAGAACAGGCATGGGAAACGAGATTTGCACTCCTTCACAATACGAGGCACCAACAAAGTCGTCCGAGGTACATTTATTTTGTTACGTTTTTTTTTTAATTTGTTTGGTTTTTTTTACGGATTTATTTATTTATTTCTTTATATAAATGATGCACGGTGAGAAGCTGGGGAGTGTGTGTTGATGAGGTCGCCGGAGAATGAGGCGGTACCGTACGTGGGGCATGTGGAGAAGATCGAGGCCGACGACCGGAACAACGTGAACGTGACCGTGAGGTGGTATTACCGCCCGGAGGAGACCAGGGCCGGCCGGCAACAGTTCCATGGCACCAAAGAGCTCATGTTGTCCGACCACTACGACGTCCAGAGCGCCGACACCGTCGAGGGCAAGTGCAGGGTCCACTCCTTTGCCGCGTACACGGAGCTTCCTTGCGTGGGCCCCGAGGATTACTATTGTCGTTTTGAGTACAAAGCCGCCCTCGGGACTTGCCTCCCCGACCGCGTCGTCGCGTACGTTTTTTTTTTGTGCATTCTCTTTGTTTCACTATTTTTGTTTTGTTTTTTCATGTGGTTCATAAATCATATTTGTTCTTACTTAATAGTGATGTAGTCACATTTTGTTTGGCTTGAAAGGTATTGCAAGTGCCAGATGCCCTATAATCCAGATGACATCATGATGCAATGCGAGGCCTGCATGGACTGGTATGCAATATATGTATATATAGATCGGAGTACATATATATAACCTTTGATGATGATGATGATGATATTTGTAAAGAGTCCTTCAGTTGTATGTTTTGTCATCCTGAAAATAAAAACCCATCATGCATATGAATACTAATCCCAGATATGTGTATTTTGTACTTCCTCCGTCCCATAAAATAAAGTTCTTGTTTTATTTGAGAAAAATGAAAATCGAATGATAAAAGTTAATGCAAAATAAAGATAAATACTCTATCGGTAGTGTGATTCACTTATTTCTTGAGTTAGTGATCTCTCGTAAACAGTCTCTCAACTACTTTTGAGTTGGAACAAGGCATGTACAGGCAAACCCTTCCCACATCCTCTCGATCATTCTCTTTCCAATAAAAACTTCCCACTGAAAAAGTAAAGCGGGAAATACATTTAGGGACGGCGAGAATACATAAGGTCTTGTAATCAATGGGGGTGACTTCTTGGAGTCTAATAAAGTAAGCCCAACTTAAAGGATCTAAGGGACTGGAATTATATGTATGTATGTATGTATGTATGTATGTATGTATGTATGTATGTATGTATGTATGTATGTATGTATGTATGTATGTGTGTGTGTGTGTGTATATATATATATATATATATGCATGTTCATCTTTTTATCTTTGAAGGTACCATCCGAGGTGTGTGGACATGTCCATCCAACAGGCCAAACAGTTGGATCAATACATTTGCACCAGTTGTGAACATTCCAAAAAACGCCCAAACCAGCCTTCTTCTACTCTTCCTGCTGCAATCAACAATGACAAGGTTTGTTTTTTCTCATTCACTTGTGTTTTTTTTGTCTTTTGCTGGATGCCCACTTTTGATTACTTGAATGTACATCTAGGAGAGCATTTTATGTTGCACCAATTTTTTTTACAGGATAGATCGAAACGCCAGAAGAGATAGGGTTATCTCAGCCTGAAAGGGGCCGGGATGCGTCGCCACACAAGAGTTACAAGAAATGATTAGTGTCTTCTAAACTAGCATAAGTAGAACATGGCATCATGTATAAGTGATTTTGGCAAACTCACAAGTTTTACTCTTCCACAATGGGCTCTTAGTTTGGATGTAGCATTTGAAACATGAAAAAGAAAGAGGAAAAAAAACTCAGTTACAGAACGGTACTACTATATAATCGAATGTACAAAGTCATATAATCATATTCATCAGTTGCCTGTATTGCACATGCACTCGGGACATCTTGGGTATCGATACACACTTCTGCCAAGTGGGCGCGAAAACACTCGTTTCGTTTGCCTCACTGCCTTTCTCACCCTGTCCTCAAACGCCTTCCACTGGATGGTGTTGTTCTTAACAAAGATGTCAGCAAGTCTGCGTTTGTTTGGGCGTATGGTAGCCATTTTCCCACCCCCGTAATACACTCTGTAGCCAGACACCAATGAGGAGAATTGGCTCCCTGAATCTGTCATAGCAAACACATCCGAAGCAGTGCAGACAATGAAGTCCATAGCAGCTAGCTGCAACAGATATCTCAAATAATTTTACCGACTTATAGCCTAACTTCTATTTTTTCCCACATTTTCTTTCATTCCAAATTTCCTGTGTTTCCCTCCCTTCCTATTATAAGCGAACATATTCGAGTAAATATACCTGAGAAGAGAAATCTGCAAATGGTTGGATTTCAGATGGGGAAAGCAAACTTTCTTTTGTTGCTAAATATGGATATAAGGTCGTTAAGGCAGCAAGCCTGGACTTCCCTCCATAGATATGTGCACCTGCTAGGTATATATGGGTTTGACGCTTGTAACCAAGGGAAGCAAGCACGAGAGCTGTTTCTTCAGGCATTAACGGACACAGACCTTCAGACCTAAGAGTTGCAGGGGAGGGTAACCTGCAACACATGGTTTTCTTGAGAAAAACAGTGCCGAAATTACTTTTTATATTGAAATTGCTTAGATAAAAAACATTTGTGCCCTCATTTTAAGAAGTGTTTTCATTGCTTTATTTAAAATTTGAAAACACTCTCATTCAGATAATTCAACTGATCCCCTTAATTCAGTCATTTGACCAAATTATGCCCTTGCTAACACTAAACAGGCTCTTAGACTTTTTCCTCGTTTTACAATGATAATGATGCATCCACATTAACCAGAGGGTGTAAATGATGGTAGTTTTGCTTTGAAACTTCCTAAAAATCATACTCCGTAGTTCGCATGATTTTTTTTGTCACAAGTAATGAAAATGAGGAAAAAATGGTTTAACTTACTTCTTGTTCTTTGTAAGATCCGCCAATGCAGGGAAATGAATTTGACGATATGATTCCAATTCTCGTCTTTCTTCTTCGCCCCCACCAAATTCACACAAAGAATGGGCCACCATGTCAATTTCAAACCTCAGGTGTAATGCCAAATATTTTGGCGTACTTTTTACAGCTCGGTTACTTTGACCCCTTATTGTTGTTGTTGCATATGGACCAACAAGGTGAGGATCCAATCGCCCCAAGCGTGTTACATTTTGTCTCATCCTCCGAATAAGCAAAGCACCAATTTTTTGTATTTTGGGAACAAATCTCAGCGCGTGAAAATTACATCTGCATCGAAGTCTCTAGAGGAAGTTCAAAATTTAAGAAACAATGACCCAATGTATACTCCCTCCCACTAAATTTATCATATTGGTCTTGTAACTTTTTCTGGCAAGTTACATTAGAAATTGCTTCCATTTTATCAAATGGGACCTTTTCTTTTTTGGGAAAAAAAGAGTGGTGGGGGTGGAGGGAGTAGTAAAAGAAATGACCCAAAACCAGGGGGAAAGATCCAAAAGGAAGTAAAGGATTTACTTGCAGCTGAAATGGTAATGGATCGGATGCCAGGCGATTCCCAAATCCAACAAAATGCACAACCTTATTATGATTCAAGATATGTAGAATATGCTTCAAATAAAAACTTGGTTTGGCTTCTTTGGGAATATTTTCATCTGTCACCTTTTTCCAGGTTTCAAAATTCAAAGAAACAAGTGTGAATATGTGATCTAAGTGTATGAACTATAAAAAAACTACTTATGAACAGTGTATATGATAATAAACTCACCAGACTGCCAATTGCCTCCAAATCCAATGATTGCAACTCCTTTGGGAGTTCTTTCACTATTCGAATGTCAGGTCTCAAGTAGCTGATAAAATGCTCCTCCTGATAGATATCGCCAAACTGACTAAGAAATTATAGATTCTGGCTGTTACTCTTTCTGTTTTTAAACAATACATCCCTCCCTCTGCACTGTCACTTTTTTTCCGTGTCCCAAATGAGTTGTTATTTACTCATTTTACATTATCAAAACAACATTCATTACATATTTCCAATTTTACCCGCCTATACTCGATGCAACAACCTACCTAGTGAAGTCCCACAAGTGGGGTTCAGGGTGTGTGTAGGCATACCTTGTTCCTATGAAAGCAAGATAATATATATCTTTAATTTTTTTTATTTTAAAAACATATCTTTAAATAAATGAGAGATCGAATACAAAGAAAACACCTTATTAAACTTAGCTACCTCCTACAATCTAAGACAACTAGAGCAAAAAGAAAGAGAAACACGGCACTCCAATCACCCTATACCTTTAATCCTTGAGACCTCAACCTCCATACTTTCCTATGCAAGTTGTTATAGCCTCAAGTCCAGGCTAGTCACTTCACCCCATATTTCTATTTTTTTACCCTTATAAATACAAGTAATATAATATATAATAATATGACACAACTTCCATATTCTTGACCTTAGATGAGTAAACTAAATAATGGTATATTAGTATGTACTCTTATGAATCCATTTAATTTAACAATTTCTTAAAATGTGTGAAACTTTACGAAGTGACATTCTTTTTGGAACAGAGGGGGAGTATATACTATGTATTGTACCTTGGGAAGAAGAAGCATTCCGGTGGTACATACTAAGAAATGAATGAACATTTTAACCTGACATCTCTCCACACACTGCTATACAGAAATTTGGGAAGAACGAGAGTTGAATTAAGCAATCTTGCAACAGCTACAGCATTGCAAATCTGTTGTGCAAGCAGATGAAGACAGTAGCTACAATCAAATTCATTATGTAATACTTTGTATTTAATTATTGAAAGGAAATATTGCAGATGTTTTGCAACACATGAAATATAAAAAAGTAGCAAAAGATATGACTCACAGCTACTCTCTGCTGATTTATACCACCATTTGCAGTAACCATAATGTAGCCAGCATTTCCATCTGAATTTAATTTTGAATTACGTTCGTTCAAACAAGAATAAGACTTACCCAAAGGGCCATGACAATACCCCCCATCCCACCCAGAGAGAGAGAGAGAGAGAGAGACCACTTGGTTTCCAGTCACGCTGCTCGGCACAAGGTTTCCATGTCGAAGCGATAGCATAGGGTTCTGCCCAGAGGTCTTTAGGCTCGGGTTTATTATTTAGCTGCCATGTAAGATAATCCAATCTTAAAGCCTCAAAAAGATAAAACTAGAAAATGGCAAACACAGTGTTCTAACTTGTACACTGTGAAGGGAGTACCTCAGCAAGAGCATGAGCAGCCTTAGCCAGCAGCCGTGCATATATAGTTTTCTGTGGTCTTTTTCCTTTACCAAGCTTTATGAGTTCTTCCTATATTTGTTCAAAATAAAGCGTAGTGATTTAGTTCCTAACTTACTTTACTAATATGACTTACATTTCATACAACAAATACAGCAACAACCCTGTAAATCTCAGGAATGGAGTCTGGGAAGGTTGAATGTCACAAACCTTACCCTACCTAGAAAAGGTAGAGACTTTATTTCCAAAAGACCAAAAACACAAAAAAATAGATTATATCCCGATATACACCGAATACATATTGTATGTCTATATATGCATTCTACTGAAATATATGCATAAACTGATTTACACAGCCATTTCTAGCATCTATGCCATTTCTCCAGTTACGGATGTGGATGTGAATTACGCATCTATATCTGTTATATTCGAATCCCCCACAAATAGAATTCGGATTCTCTGTTTAATCATTACGAAGCATCCATTCACACGTACTACATAGATACACAACAATTCTTCTGAATGCTTTCTTTGGAAAAATGTGATCTTGAGCAGAAATACGATATACAAATAATTCAATATCTTTCTTTTTCTGCAACTCTAAACAAATGCAGGAGTGGAGAAATAGCCTACCCGGATTGGGAAAGTAGATGCATTAGCTTTAAGGAGCTTGAATTTGATCCCACTGGCGTGACCCGGATCCTGGATCCGATACAGCATCCACCAGTTCGCTAGAACAACCGCCGCAATCAGCAAAGGAAACCCTAGCTTCGACCAGGGCCGGCACCGGGACAACTGTTTCTTATTCGCCGTCCTCCTCTGCCCGGATGAGGTGGCATGGTACCCGTTGGTTAGAGACGAAGAGGAGCAAGAAGGTGAGCGGGTACGAGGCAATGGCTCGAATGGGTTGGTCTGCGACGGAGATCTCAATCCGGTACCTAAACGCCGCAGCTGTTCGCCGTCGATTGACGGAGTCTCGGAGCAACTAGAGTTGCTAGGAGGCATTTTTCTTGTTTTCTTTTCTTGAGAGAAAAAAAAACATGAAGTTTGCTAAACTTGCAGGTTAACTTGATCTCCGGGGGTTCCGTGCCTTCCAGCCGGAGAAACTTGCAGGGAAAGCTGCCATCACTCAATCTATCTGATTATCTGTGCTAAATTCCAGAATAAAGCATTACTTTATTTTTTAAACTAGAATACTCTAAAGAAAAATGCTAGGGGCCCCTAGCATTCCTCTACTCTAAATAAGGCAAGAAAATAAAAAAAAGGCAAGAAAATAAAAAAAAAAAAAATAAACAAATAAAAATACAAAAAATTGTATGGTGGAGAAATGGGTGGGGGACAAATGGGGTACACCATTTGGTGTACCCCTAGCATTCCTCTACTCTAAATAAAATTAGGAGCTGTTTGGCAACTTCTGAATGGTAAGTGCTGAACCAGTAAGAGGTCTGAATCATTAAGTGCTGAACCAGTAAGAGGTCTGAACCATTAAGAGCTAGTATATTGCTTAACTATTCAGAGGCAAATGTCTGATCAATTCAGATAACAGCTCTTAACCATTCAGACTCTGTATAATACTTAACCATTCAGAGACAAATCTCTTAACCATTCAGACATCTGAACCATTAAGAGGCTGAAACAAACAGTCTGAACCATTAAGTGCTGAATCATTCAGACATCTGAACCATTAAGAGGCTGAAACAAACAGCCCCTTACATTTAATACCATTAGATTATACTCTCTCCATCCAGAAATATTCTTCTCATTTGACTTTTCTTGGTCAAAGTTTGTAAACTTTAACTATGATATGTAAAAAAATATATTATATTACGATATAAATTTAATATGAATATATTCATCTTGAAATATAATTTTCAAATATCAAATTTTTATAAAATATATCCATGTATAAATATAGGTATTAGTGGTTAAAGTGCAATCTTGAAGACAGTTAAAAGTCAAATGGAAGAATATTTCTGAACAAAGGGAGTAACAAATCAAAATTTATTTTAGTCAAATCAAAATCAGATCAGATAAAGAGAATATACACTGAAAAATGTTATGTTACCCCAAAAGTTTATAACATTTGGTATGCATAGACACTATTTCAATTGGGACATGTAAGGTGTTCTATTTTGTAAAATTTATAGTTTCATCTTCTTAATCTTTCACTCACTTGTGGCTATAATTTATCCTCTCACTCACTCTTCAATTTTAGGTAATTTTGATGTCAATTTTTTTTTATTTCAAAGTCAACTACACTCGCAAAGTTCAATTGATTTAGGTAAGAAAAATGAGCTGAGATCGGGACTGGATAGAGAGTTTCCTAGTGATTATGATCAGAGATTGTTAATTTTACGAATAAAGTATCGTAGAGAAGCAGTGTTTTCCATGACCACTCAAATAGAGTGGACATGAAACCGGCGTGTTTCATACTCTTTCCGTCCCTAAAAGAATTTCTTTTTTTATCAACGTGTAAAACCCTGTAATTTTTAAAATGATTTTATTTACAAATTGGTAAAAAACTAAGAAATAAAAATTTATATTTAGAAATACATGAAAAAAATTGCAAAACAAGATGCGACAAGAATATTTTATTTTATCAAATTATCCACGAAAACATGTAAATAAATTAGAGTATTGTAAAATCGTAGTAGTAAACAAGCAATTCTCTCAGGTGAATATATCTTTAATTTTTTTACTTCCTCCCCTATATGTAAATCACAAATGAAGAAAATGAAAATTAAAACAAATTTGATATATATGGTTGAAATAGGAGTAAAAGTGTTAAAATTTATAATTTTTATTAAGTAGCCTAAGTATTTGGAATAGAGGAATTTACCTAAATAGTACAAATAAATAATATCTTTTTCAATATAGTATCATATGTTTTTATTTTCCGATATAGTACCACTGGTCATTGTCTACAAGTTATTGTTCAAGTAAATTTTCATCGTCACTGGCATTATTTAAACTAAATGTTTACCAACACTAAACATTATTCTCGTCAGTAAACATTACTCAAATATTATTCAAGAAATAAAAATTTAAGTAATGCATTAAAAAATGACATATATTTTAGTACCATTTAGTACGAACTTCACTCTAAAAAATCACAAAATTTGATATAATAAGGTCATAAAAAAATACATTTGGGATACACTTTTCCTAACATTCTTCAAAAAATGAAGATCAAAATTTAGAAAGGATATGCTAGGGGTACACCAAATGTACCTACAAATGTACACCACTCCTCTTTCTACCATTCATTTTATTTTATTTTTATTTTTTTTAATTTTCCTTCCAATTTAGAAACAGGGATTATGGAGTGGAGTGGTTGAAAACAGGGAGCTGAACAGTAGCTGAAAAGTCGGCATCTTGGTGCGGAAGATGAACAAGAAAGGTCTCGCAGTTCTCATGCGGACCAAAGTGCGTCCCTCCATATCACCACCTTCTCCGGTATGTATATTGCTATTCATATTTTTTGAAGTCCTCCAATTTCTTTGGATTTTGCCTCATTTTCCCCTGTGATTGGATGCGCAACAGAACACATTTCAAAAAATGAAGACCTCTCCCCGGGAAAGCGCCCCAATTTCTCCTCCCTCTACATCCTCCGATTCCGAAAGGTGGGTTTTTTTCCCCTCGAACTTTAACAACTTTCCTGTTTATGTGTTAAAAAGGGGAATCATCAAATCAAGTTTGAGAATAATCATGTAATTTATGTTTAGATATTTCTAGGAATAGATTGATGATAAATTATGCAGTGGTATCAGGGACTTTACTCAAGTAAGGGATTGGATGCACTCTGCAATATCAATGAACAAGGCAGAAATTTTAGATGCTGCTCTAGATGAGTTTTCTGAGGTGGATTCCTTTAACAACTTTTTTCTTACTACATGAGTTTTTTTTCACTCACTGTAAACTTATTTGCTTCAAAAAGTTTGGGTTTTGAGATGTTATTAAGATTTTTTTACTTGCTATTGATCTAGGGTTATGTTTGTCTTTCCCATGAAAGTCGTCGGAAATTACTTCTTGCACTTGGCCAAGATTATGATCTCCACCGGGCTCAAGTTCGCGAGTTGATGAAACAATATCTTGATCTTCAGCTTCCAAGTGGTGTGTTCAACAATTATTGACTTAAGTACTTATTGTTTTGTAGTTTGAATCTAAAATCATGGAGCTTTGGCAGATAAGGCTGAAAACAGTGGGAATGAAGAGGAAGGCTCACTTTCTGCTTTCTACAGGATAGAGCGGAATCTGAGGCATGCTTTGAAGCCAATGTATGAAGTTCTCTTTGAGCGCCTCAATACGCATCCCGGAGGGTTGAAGTTCCTATCTGATATGCGGGCTGATATTATTTCGATTCTCGCGTAAGGTTATGTCACACGTTGAGTAATTTTGATCCTTTCATCATTAGTTCTATGGACGATTGGACATGTTTAAAAGTCAAATTAGATTCATGAGGAATGAGAAAGGGTTTCTTGGAATGTGGAAAATACAAGTGAAAGGAAACACGGAGGAAATTATAGAAGAAAATTGAAAGGAATGAACTTTTGGAGGGGAATATAAGATATGCTCAAACACAATAAATTTGTTGTATACATATCTCATATATTTGGACTCAATTTCTTTATAAGTACTCCCTCGGTCCCTCCGTCCCCACATAAGACTTATGGAGTACGTAACGAGGCAAAATGAAGTGTTTCTTTAATTCATTTTATTTAGCAATTGAAAATAGGCATAAAAAATAAAACTCATATATTTAAATATCACGTCAAAAGTTCTACGAACTAAGATGTGACTTGACTATATTATTTTATCAAATGATTAATGAAAACACCCAAGCACGCAAAAGCTATCGTGATACTGGTATAGTGACTCTAACTTTTGTTTGGGGACAAAGGAAGCATTATATAAAGACTAAGAATTTAAAAAATCTAAATATATGCAAAAAAATCCTTAACATTGGCTTAAAAAATTAAGGTCCCTCAAAATGGTACTTAAAATATTAAATAAAGCTAATTTTATATTTTCATATGCGGTTTCACTAAAGAAGGGTGAAATGTGAAAGGTGTGGTTGAGACATATATAGAGGAGACACGAATAATATGAACCAAACAATTATTTCCTTAAAAGCAGAGTGAGACTTATTTTTGGATAGGCCACGAAGAAAATGTGGAACCTTTTTGTGTGTCAGATGGAGTAATATATATCATTTTTCTTTTTATTTTCCAAGATAAAGTGAAATAGAAATTCCCAACATTTTTTCTTTTATGTAACATTTTCGTGGTTCAAAATGGACCTGAGGAGTTTTTCTTGGTGAGTTGCAGTGTACTCATAAAAGTAACAACTTTGTGATTACTGATATTACACTTCATTACAGGGATGAAAATGTGGCATCATTGAGAGCATTAGATTCCTTCTTGAAAGAAAAACTTGTTACATGGCTCAGCCCTGCAAATCTAGAGCTCCACAATATAACATGGGATGATCCTGCATCTTTGTTGGAGAAGATTGTGGCATATGAGGTCTCTTTTTTTCTTGACACCGTGATATTGTTTGATGCTATACGGAGAATCATAGTATTTCATACCAACAGGCTGTACATCCAATAAGCAATCTCATAGATCTCAAAAGAAGGCTGGGAGTAGGCCGTCGTTGCTTTGGTTATTTCCATCCAGCAATACCTGGTTAGTCGTGCTTGACTTAATGGTGATTTCTTTATCTGGTTAGACTTGCACCGCGGTAATTCCAATGAAAAAGTTTGTTCTGTAGTAAATCTAACCTCTCAGATAATCTACTGCTCCAGCAATGTTTAATGACTGACATTGACTATTTTTAGGTGAACCTCTTATTTTTATTGAAGTAGCACTTATGAAAGATGTGGCTCAGACAATACAGGTAGAAGTTTGTGTTTGATAGATGACTTGTTTATTCAGCTCAAATATGCCTTAGCTCTGTTGGTATTGCAGGAGGTCTTATGGGATGATCCTCCAGCGCTTGAATGTGATGCTAGTTGTGCCCTATTTTACTCTATTTCATCTACTCAGGTGAACATTCAAATTTTACTAACTCCATTAAAATATCATATTTCAACAAGGTGCAACTCTATAATTTCACTGAGGGCCTAAAGTTAATTTTTTGAAGAGTTGAAGACTCTTTTCATGGGACGTAGGGAGTAACTATTGAAAGTCTCATTGCATCCTAAGAGGGGAGTGAATTAGAGTGATAAAGTTGGTGTGCCTTGTGCAAAATAACAAGCGGTGCGAGTAAATAAATACGAAAAATAAATAGAGTGCAGTGATATTTTATACCCGTTTTCTTCTCTACCTATAATGATTTAGAGAGATGGTTAGTTTCATACATAATAAAATTATTTCAGAAATCATTGTATGTGATGGTACTGGTGAAATCCCGACTAGGTGTTGACTTAGGGTTTCCATTCCTTCGCAAGGCTTCTCAAGATTTTTCTTACCATTTCTTTTAAGGTGTAGGTCTTTTGAGAGCATCAAGGTTGTTAATGATATTTGAAAGTCATTCAAACATATCTTCAAAACTTTCATTTTTTTAATTGAAAATAGGTCATTTCCTGATCGAGTAAATCCATCCTTGCTTCTCACACTCTACTCGTTCTTTCATATCTAACTTTCGAGTTTATCGATGGTTTTGTGACTGACCTTTTTAGTTAAAACTGCTCCGTTCTTGATCATGAGCTATGCTTCAAAAAATCATGTGTTCAACATTCTAAATAATTATAGATCATTTTCTCAAATTATTAAGTGTATTCAAAGATACTCTCTTATACCAATTGCTAGAATAAGTGCCTAACCCTAGAGGGGTGAATAGAATTCTGAGAATGTTATTTCAGTTTTTCACAAGTTTGTGAATAAATAAAAATAATAAGCAACAAAAATATAAAAGAGCCAGGAAGGAAGAACAGTACACAACAATATATCTTTTGCAAGCACACTCATAGACTTGATGGGATGAACCAATTTCTTCCATTACCATTGGAATACTGTAAACACATATTGTCCTCACTTAATGATTTAGAAACTATATGTTCACTTGACAGAGCCAAGTTTTAAAAATTAATGAATCATATCCAATTTGGCTAAGTTGAGCATGATAATGATAGAAACAAAAATAACGTGCTTTTCATCTCTGCATTGTATTGTTCAAGTTCTACTTCGAATTCCTAAAAAATGAATGTTCTCTTTGTGCAACTACTAATGGAAGTTATCTTTAACTACAGTAATGTAGTAATGTGGGTTTTCTTTTTGCAATTTTCACCACACTAGTGACATCACTTGTGCTTCTCTATTGCAGCCTGGTTTATCAGGGATTAACCTTGGAAAGTTTCTAATCAAGCGTGTGATTGATGTGGTAAAGAAGGATTTGCCCAACATCTATGTAAGTTCTGTTATATTTGATACCTGACCGTCATCATCTTAATCCCAACTAAGGTTGCGTTCTTGTGTTCGCTTTGTCTGAACTTATTGATTTTGATCCAAATTTTTCAAGGCTGATTTGGTCTAAATGAATTTGATCTGATTGTAGTGTAATTTAAAGCTGTTGCTGATGTGATCTAAACTGTTCCGATCCTGATAAAAATGAGTAATAAGTAGAAAAAACCAGTTGAAGAGAATAGGGTCTAAGATGGAGTTTGTGGCATTCAATCTTTAGAGTCAATTCTACCTTTTCCCTGCCATGTTACTGCTTAAAAGCCCCTCTTAATTCTATGGGTCCTCCCACCTGTTGGAGTTCTCAGTTAACAGTTATATGGCCCTTCTTATGTTTACAATTTGTTTTCAGACATTTGCAACACTAAGCCCTATTCCTGGTTACATGCAATGGCTGCTTTCTAAGTTGGCTTCTTCAGAGAGATCAACTCCTACTTTTAGGGAGAACTTGCTTAATCCAGACGAAGAAAGAGCCATTTTAGATGCTTCCGGGTAAGCAGTTGTTTATGCAAACTTCTTGTTTTAATTTATAGTTGTCAATATGTCATCTAAAACTAAATTGTTTGGGTAAAAGATCATGAAATCGCATTCAATTGCTTTTATTTGAGATTTAATGGAACAAGATCTAAGTTTCTGTTTTTTTTTCTCCTTCATATATCGGTCTCTTTAGAAACACCAAATAGGCATCATCTTCTATATATCTGTTATTTGTCTTTCTTTGTCTGAAATCCTCTAAAGATCCCTGACGATTTTAGATTACTGGTTCTAAAACGGAAAAAGCATTGTCAATATTGTTCTTTAGTTAAAATGATCTCATCGTGATTATTATGGCAATTATTTTGTTTACAGAGAATTGAATACAGGAAGAAGTGGTATGGAAGTTCTGTGGAATCTGTTGGCATCAAAGGACTATGAGTGGACAAATTCAATGATCTTGACATCTGTGCTTAGAGCCCCTCTTATGCGACTTTGTGTGAGGTACGTTGAAGAACATATGTAAAAGTGTGAGAGTAAAGGAAACAGGTTATATATTTATTGTATTATAAATTCCATAAAATGTATTTTTCTTGGTGTTTATATATTAACATCCATCTCTTTGCTTTTGGGCTTGCAGGTACCTTGTGCACGAGAAGAAGAGAGGAAAGGCTCTCGACTCTGTCGCCAATTTCCACTTACAAAATGGGGCAGTATGATAAGTAGATATTAATAAATTGGTTTTTATTTATGACAATTAAACGTGCATTAAAATGTCTGACAACTGTGACAAGTGATTATGTCGGATGAAACGAAATTTATGTTCGTTAATAAATTCAATTGTAGATGGTTGGAAGACTTAATTGGATGGCCGACAGATCCGAAAAGGGCCTTAAGCAAAGTGGCGGTATAATGGTAAATTACATATATAGGTATGACTTATGTTCCTTCCTCTGAATTCTTCTCTTACAATAATTTCATGTTTGCTTAAGCAAAATGGGTTTTTTCAAGCCTCATGATTAATTTTCTTTTACCATTTACATCATTAAGTGTGGTAAGTACTCAATTTTTCTTGAGTATTATAAAGATTTCCATCTGATCAAACTTGTTCATAAGATTAGTGGTTGACTTGACTTTATTAAAAATGATTTTCAGGCTGGAGAATATTGAAGAAAATGCTCAGTCCTATATTAGTGGAGGACATATCCAAACATCCTCTGATGTCATACTCTTTTGAGGTAATTTAAGTAAAAAGATGCTTTTACCAGCTTGATCACTTTTTCTCCCTCTGCATTTCACTGCAATTAAAATTTTAATTTACCTGCTTTGAGAGGATGCAGGATGATCAACAAGATAGAAAGGATTAGTACTATATGTCCAAATTGTATAATCTCTGTTCTCATCATACAGGTAAATATGTTTATAATAATATTAATTAATCTGCAAATGTAATTTTTTTAAAAAAACTGTTAGTTTTTGTCCAAGAAATTTGTGATTTTAATTGGCAGCCCGGAGTATTGGTATAAAATTAAACAATTTATGGGGGCAGCGGTGTAAATTATTCAATTTTGGAGTATTAACATAAAATCACAAATTTCTTGGAGTATTCGTGTGAATTTTTCCTAATTTTTATTTATAGTTGATGATTTAAAAAATGTAACCATGAAAGGGGCTTTATGACTTCGCCTGTTTTTTGTCATGGAGTCTCGAGATGAGTTGGGTGCCACATGGCACATAACGCTCCTCTCGGGGCTCCATGACTACACATGTTCTAAGAATACACCGAAAGTCCCGAACAACATACATAGTAGTTTCCAATCACTAGCGCTTTTGAATTTTTTTAAGATAAAAGTTATGTTTAAACATTTAAAAAATAATTTTAAAATCATTAAATAGTTAGAACAATGAATGTCTAATAAATATTAGGTTGTATACAAATTGGGTGCTCTTGGCATGCAGGTGCACATGTGATTATTATTATGCAATCTTGGAGTCCCATTGTAAAATATTGAATCTTTGGCAGCCTATATATGTGATAATTAAGTGTTCTTGGAATATTTTTATATAATCTCAAATTTATGGGTGCATTTGTATGAATTAAAAAAACAAATTATATATGGACTTTGCTCGGTGATAATACATCAATTTATTGCTTATGTCGAGATCCATACTTAACATACGGACTTTAGGCATGTACAAAAAATTAGTGTTTAAATTAATTAATGTTTACGTTTTAATTTTAAAAACATATTTGATAATCGGTTTCATATTTAGAATTACTGTAAAAAACCATGAGTGATTAATTATAATATATTTGCCAAAGGGACAAGTAGTCTTGTCATATATTTTTTCTATATTGGAGTATGATAAAGAAATGACGAAAAAATTACGGAGTATTTCCAAACTAGATGAAAAGAAAAAATGAAAAAACTTTAAAGTAAAGAGACTAGTACTTATAGTATGTGGTAAACAAAGTGCTAATTATGGAGTTTATGTGAATTTCTCTACTATCTGGAGTGGTAAGAAATCCATTCCAATCCATAAAATTTTTGGCGAAGGTGGAAGCATTGAATTTTTGTGTGTTATTAGGTTGAGAAAAATATAAACAGATATTATATTGTAATTGAGTCAATAACTTTAAAAAATTATGGAGTATATGTTTATTAAAAATAGTCAAATTTAAATTAAGAGATTAATTATCATCACATTTAATGCTTTTGTTGGCTTAGTGCCCGTATATCAACTACTTCAATATTTAGTTTAACATTTATTTTTAATGTTTTATAAGTAAATCTGCACTAATGAATTTCTTTTTAAAATGCTAATTTTATTTTTCCCCAAACCATCCTCAGAAAAATAGAATTTGTAAAACTTGGGATAGAAATATATATCTAATTATAGAAAAGAAGAATATCTTCAATGTTACTATACTAAAATAAGACTATTGATATTAAACCAAAATGCTATAAACACTATGAAATGCCATGTTGTTGGCGTTTTGTAGTGTTAACACTCCTATATAGAGAATAATTTGTTAGGATATTATTGCTACAAATAATATTGTAGAAAATTACTCACACGTGACACGAGTTTTGTTGAAATAACTCTCAGGTCCCTCTATTTTCAAGAAGACAGCAGAGGTCCTTACATTTTGTTGTAATAACTAGAAGGGGACATTCCATCCAATATTTCATCTATAAACGTTAATAAATGTATTTTTTTCGTATTCTTTTCTAAATGTTTTAAGTAATAAATCTTAAGTCGCTCATTTTTTATTTCTTTGTTTTTCTTTCATTTTTTTACTATTTTTTAAAGTGTTATTTTAGAATTTCTTCTATAAAATCGTATAAAAATTCAAAATTGTTTGTATTATATTAAAACAAATGAAATAAAAAAAATTAAAAAAAGAAAAAACAAGGTAATGGCAAAATAGGAAAAAACGGTATTGGAAAAATAGGAAAAAAATACATTTATTAACACTTACGGATGATGTATTGGATGAAATGTCTCCTCTCAGTCATTACAACAAAATATAAGGACCTCGGTTGTCTTTTTGAAAATAGAGGGACTTGAAAGTTATTTCGACAAAACTCGCGTTACCCGAAAGTAATTTTCTGATAATATTGTGATATATTTGATTGGTGTATATTATTCCATTATAGTTACCATCACATGACATCCCTAAGGAAGTCCCACCACATCTGTATGTCCCAAGGAGATGCATGACATTGAAAATATTCAGTGGTTACTTGCCCTCCACATACATATGTCCAAGCTAAGGGAGCACCACTGGATGTGGAGGACAAGTAACCATTGGATATTTTCAATGCCATGCATCTCCCTTGGAGATACAGATGTGTGACTTCTTTAGGGATGTCATGTGATGATAACCATAATGGAATAATATACACCAATCAAATATATCACAATATTATTTGTATCAATAATATCCTAACATAATTACTACTACAATATAAGATATCTTTATGCAAGTTGATTATTTGTCAATATATATAAGTGATTTTAATCGTCAAATATTATCGGTGATATCGTCACACCAATGAATATTATCAACAAAAGTTATTTACACCATCAAATATTATTAGTGAAAATAAATCTTAGAGTATATCATGATGCAACCTGTGTGATATAATCTTACATAAACATTTTCCCTATGAATTACCGATCGAGTATACATTGATAATCAGATCACTTTTTGACAATATTTTTACAAGTACAAAATTGAGATGTTTGTAAACTATTCACAAACATGAAATGTATGTTTAAAAGAAGTTCAAAAGAAATATTATTTTTAGTGCATGTTACTTTGTACGTTCTACAAAAAAATTTCATATTTTTTCTTCATCTGTCTCACAAAAATATTTAACTATTTCTTTAATTTTGAACACATTTTTATGATTTTATTATGTTTCTCGTTTGCATCACTTTCAATCATATAACGTCACCTTTTAAATTTTACGTGTCAAGTCAAACATAGAAATTAGAACATGACAAATGAATAAGAATTATTTTTAATTTGTACATAGGGCATGCTTGATTGGTTGATGGTTGATGTTAATAATCATGTTATGATGTAGATCACGTGTCTATTTGGCAATGTTACACTTTAATATTTTTAGAATTAATCTAAATTATTAAAGAATAAAATTTTATTTAAAAAACTACGGAGTAATATAATTCTAACAAATAGTACTGACCTAAGACCGTGATATGACCGTAAATAGTAGAGATCTCTCATTTGGAAGAAAGGACCACAAGGTTTTGGCCCATTACTTAACATAGTGTTTAATTTTCTTAGACCGTATTTTGGATTTTTTGTACTTTCTCCGTTTAAAAAAAGGTCAAATTATACAAAAGGAAACAAAATTTTTAATTTTTTCCATTCATTTTATATTGAAATTTGTATAGAAATAAAAAGTAAAACATATTAGTAATATTTAAAAATTATGTTAAAATTGTTTCATTGTACCAAAATGTCTTTCACCATTATATTAAAAAAACAACTTTTATTCCTAATAACTTTTACTCTTCTTATTACATTATATTTACTCCGTATTCACTGATAACATATACAGTACATCACATAAAAGTCAGATTAGAAAAGAAATTTCAAGACAGAAAGAATACAAAATAACAAATGACAAAAATATTTTATTTTATCGAATAAATAATGAAAATATAGAAATAAACAAAAATTTCTGAACTTATATTCAATGCAATATTTATTTATTTTTGAATAAATTTCTAAAGTGGCACTCAATAACTATGTATTTTCTAAAATTAACTAACTATCGAGATATTACTCGTTAATTGTAAATAGTGTTTAGTTTAGTCCCCCGACTAATCGTCATCAAAATAGATTCAAAACGCCATTAAAATTTATACTTATTTTCTAAAATGATCATTTCTAATTAGTCAAATTTCGAAATAAAATCTCAGAAAAAATAGTCTCTCGACTTCGCTTAAACACCGTGAATCAATTAAAAGGGAAAAATCATATCTAAAATAGACTAATTTGAAAAAACAATTAATTATATCTCAATTTGAATAATTAATACTCCCTCCGTTTGGAAAAACACTTCCCATTTGGATTTGGGGCAAAAATAAGAAAGTGTTAAATTATAGTTGATTTCCAATTTTGCCCCTGATGTGATGAGTAAAAGTAAGATGTGATGGATTGATTATTAGAGAAAAAGTATGATGTGATAGGTAGGGAATGAAAAAGTAAGGGTAAAAGTGGTTTTTTAATAGAAAAGGGAAGTGTTTTGTTGGAAGTGGAAAAAATGAAAGATGAATTGTTTTTGAGAACGGAGAGAGTATAAGTTTTAGCACCATTATGATGACCGTTAGTTCGAGGGACTTAACAGAACATTATTTTGATGGCCGTTAGTTCGAGAGACTTAACTGAACATTAGTTCGAGCACTATTTTAATCAATTGTTCTTGGAAACTACGTAATTTAGAAAAACATATTATTTTGAGAATTTAATCTTTATTTTCGACAATAGACTATCAATGTAATTATGTAAAGTACTGGAATGCGTGACCCGTCAGTTACGATACGTATCCTTTGCAAAATCTCAGAAAAAGGGAAAAAATTGGGCGTAGTTTGCAAAGATTGACCCATTTTAACCCACTGTTTATACAAAGGCACGATTCCATAGACAGATAAATACAGCCCATGGGTTTCCTCCCTCTGTCTGTTTTTCCCTTACCTATAAGGCCAGAAGAAGAAACCGCCCCGAATTCGGCAAATCCGCCTCAGGTTCCGTCTTCCCCAGACATTACTTCAACCTGACTCCTTCCTTTAATCGGCACTGTGTATAGATTTGATTCCGAGGTCGCTCAGAACCTGCGGCGTTCGATTTGTCAGTCGCCTGACTCTGTCTGTCAGAGGTTTCCTCTATTTCACCGCTCTAATAATAAAATACTACTCCTCTAGAAGGCGGCGACCGTCTTCCGCTCCACTGCCTTCGCCATTCACGTGAGATCTGGTCTTCTTTCTCGTTTTCAGATCTCAATTCTCGCATCTGATTCTTGATCAATATATGGCTTTTGAATTTGTTGATGGACGTTTTCGAACAGATGGATGAATTTTAATTTATGGTGTATAGTTTCGTTATTATTAGTGGTGATTCAGGATGTTTTTTAAAACCAATATTGATTGTTAATTTTGCGGATTTTTAGAAATAGGAAAGGTGATCTTTTTTTTTCTTTCAGAATTGATGATTTGAGTGTTTGTAATATTCTGTGTCATTGATTGAAATGGTGAAAGTTTCTTAATTGCAGGATTTGATGAAGTGACTATGACGGAGTAATTTAATTGCACCCTAGGTAACTGATTTTTTATATTTGGCCTTTTTTTGTTGTAGTTGATGGAAAAAGTAATTGTTTTTTCTGCATATTCCTCTTAAAGATTCTATTTTATCTGTTTGGAGTCAAAGAAATACTTCGGAAATCATGATAGATTGTAGTTTATGATAATCTTGCAGCATTGAGCCTCATTTTTTCGGCCAGCCCAGATATATACGGAGTACTATTTAGGGTTGGTTGTTGTGACTAGGTTCCAGTCCTTCTGGATATATAGTTGTTGAATCTTTGTGATCGTCTCAATGATTTGCCATTCAGATGTGCTATATGAGTTTACTCTTACGAGATCACAAGGTTGGAATAATTATAGGCTATTATATTCCGATTTTAGATCAGAGAAAAGTAAAGCTTTTATCTTTGCATTTTTTGGAAAGCAATAATCGGATTGTGTGTGGCCTCTGATCTTTTTTAGTTTGTCTTGATTCTTGAATCTTGATGATGAATGAAGATGGCAATGTTGGTAACAAAGCAAGGACATCCTAGTGGGCTGAAGAGGCATGATTTGGAATTGCCAAGCATTTCTGAACTCAGGAGATGGAATTCCCAAGCCTCTGAAGAAGATGATCCTGAGCCAAATGTTGTTAGAACCCCTCAAAGACGTTCTCGGGGAAGAATTAAAAAAACAGTAAATAGAACAACAGTGATGAACAATTGCAAAGGTTCATTTGGCAGAGATGCCTCTTATTTTCCCAGATTTCAATCAGATCTGTCTTTCTCTGACGAACTAAATGAGGAGGATGAAAGTGATGAAGAGTACAGCTCAGAATGTTCATCACGAAATAAACAGCGTGTGTACGGTCGATATGATGAATTTTGCAATAAGATAACGTCACGGAAGCGCCAGATTTCTCCCACCAAGGCACATTGTGTGAGTAGAGAACCTGCTAGAAAGAAAATAAGATATGAAGAGCAAAAAGAGTTGGGGATAGGTTCGAACTCAGCTGCACATTTGCGACAAACGAGACATTTTACTAAGACGAAGTCAGATGATTGCAACAGAACTTCAAAGAAAGATGAAATTATGATGGAAGGTCTAGATATTACAAGTGAAGAGGAATGGGAAACAAGCAAAAGCCCGAGTTCTCCAAATGTGAGAAGAGGAATTCAGAACACTCGGGACGCAAAAAGTTTGAGTGCTAACCGGAGGTCCTCAAAACGTGCAGCTGCATCTTTTAGAAAATATAATATTGATCATGATTTTTATGTTGGCGAGTGGGATGACGAAGATGATAGTGATGAAGGTTTGGCATTGATAGCAAAGACATCACATGTAAACAGTTGTGGTTTACATCCTGAAGTGATTACCAACGAAAGTGATGATGCTAGTGATTATGACACTAGAAAAAAGGATAATTCAAGGAGACGTTCTTCCAGTTCTTCATCTTCATCATCTTCCTTGCCCTGTTTGAGGGTATTAAAGAGTGACAAGAAGGTAATAATCAATTATTCCATTTTGTATCTAGGTTGTAATCCCATTTTGCATGCTACTGACTTCATTATTCTATGTAAAGAACTTCTGTGTTTGTTAAAGTCAATCCCCTGTTGGATCAGATTGATGAGGAAAAAAATGTAAGGTCAGCAATGTGCCATCAATGCCAAAGGAAAGATAGAAGAATTGTTGTTGCTTGCAGCAAGTGCAAAGAGAATATTTACTGCATTCGATGCATCAAGCAATGGTAAATTTGTAACCATATCGACTCTCTGTTTGGTTGTTTGCTTATTATCATTGTCAAAACTTTTTTGGGAAGTTAATAAATAGTACACTACCACCATCCTTATAAAGCACTCATATTTGATCAAGGTATAATTATTTAATTTGGTAAATAAATAGTCATACTTATTTTTTTATGTGCTGGTTTAACTAATTTTATACAGCAATATTTTCCTAAATTTATAGTCTTGTGTGTTGAAAAAATCACCACGGTTCTTTGACACCAGGTTTTGGTGTCATAATACCTAGGTCTGTTGGGCCCGGGGCCAATCCCGCCTTGCTCCCCACCCTACCCTATGCACTTTGCCAAAATGCTTCAGTGTTACCGTAGCAAGAGGCAGGAGGGTTTTTAGGGCGTGGCTGGGAGGTAGGACCCGATCCCAAGCCCGACGGAGCACCATAGGGCCCCTTATCGGCTGTGTCATATTATGACACTGTGTGTAGGTGTCCAAAGAACCAGGTTCTGAAACAATAGATGACCCTTTTTTGGGATGGAGGGGGCGTCATTTGTAATGTGTTCTAATGGATTCTCTTAACCCCCACCACAACAGGTATCCTAAACTATCAGAGGAGGAAATTGCAGAGGTGTGCCCTTTTTGTCGTGGGAATTGTAATTGCAACAATTGTTTGCACTCTAGTGGCTTCATTAAGGTAAACAAGTGTTTCTTTGAATCAGACTATATGTGCTCTCTTGTCTGGCTTCTGACTATATATGTTCTTTCTACATTCAGACATCAAGAAGAGATCTCACTGACTTTCAAAGGCTTCAGCATCTTCAATATTTGGTTGTTAAACTTCTTCCCTTCCTCGAACAAATCCGTTCTGAGCAAGTTCAGGAGATACTGACAGAATCTGTAAATCAAGGTGTCTCTTCATCCTTAATTGAGGTCAAACAGTCAACATTTTACTCCGACGAGCGAGTGTATTGGTGAGTATTTTTTTAAATCTTCTGAAATTAATAATAACGTGAATCCAACAAAATAAAAAATTGTTTTTTTCATTTATCAGCAATCAGTGTTCAACATCAATTTTGGATCTTCATCGAAGTTGCCCTGGCTGTTCATATGAGCTTTGTCTGCGTTGTTGTGAGGAAATACGCAAAGGAAAGTTTCCAGGGTGTCCAGTAAGAGAAGTTTTCAAATATAAAGATAAAGGATGTGAATATATGCATGGCGGCGATCCCCAACCAGAAACCAATGATGATGTGGACAATTCACCATGGGATCAGAACAATCCACCCGTGACCAAATGGGCTGTCAGTGGCGATGGCAGTATCACCTGTGCTCCTCAAGAACTGGGTGGGTGTGGAAGTTGTATTTTAGAGCTCAAGCGCCTCCTTCCAAAAGGCTGGATCTCTACTTTGGAAGAAAAAGCAACAAGAGCTTTGAGCAAATGCAGAAGTTTACAGACAACTGCAACTTGGGAAACTGAAGCTGTGAATATAAACCCTGAGAAGATGCGCAGAGCTGCTGATAGAGTGGGTTCTAAAGACAACTGCTTGTATTGCCCAACTGGGAGGGATGTTGTGGAGGAGGAAGAGCTTTTCATGTTTAGGAGCCATTGGGGTAGGGGTGAACCAGTAATTGTAAGGGACGTTCTTGACCACACGGCTGGACTTAGCTGGGAACCTATGGTTATGTGGCGTGCCTTATGCGAGAACACAAATCCAAGAACATCCGTCGGCTCAAATATGTCAGAAGTCAAAGCCGTGGACTGCTTGGCCGGGTGTGAGGTAAAGTTTCTTTTAAATTTTCAAGCAAAAGTGCTCTGTGCATGCATGCATGGAATTGTTATTGCCCCACTGCATCCATTTTTATAGGCTGTCTTATTTCATAGATAAATCATCACTGTTTGCATATGTTGTCTGCATGTGGGGGCAAGGGCAACACCCACCATTTTTTCTTGGAATATTGGCCAAACCCAAATCTAGATGAGCTGTAAGGAGGCCCGGCCGGCACAGGTCATATAAAACAGTGTGCCCGAAGGCAAGCACTTCGGCCCAACTCAGTGGCTCGATCCAAAATAAACACTAACACAGAGAAACACCCTCTTATTCTACCATTGCTTAGCTTTATGTTGCTAGAATAAAAATATATTCATAACATTGTGCCGACCTTCTCAGACCAGCACAATACCATTTTTGTAACCTTCATATAGATAACCTTTAGGTGATTTGGTTGAGGTATAGATGTATAGTGGCTTTGTTTGGCAACTACTTGCTATTTGTGTTAGGTGTTTCTTTAAAAAATGTTCGGTAAGATATTTTGTGAAATAGCTAATTGACAAATTTCTAGAACACATCTAACACATCAAATTTAAATACTCCCTCTGCTATGTGATTCTGATTCTATATGAGTGTCTATGTTGAATATCACCGGTCTACGAAGTGAGTGCGTTCATAGAGGTGTGTCTAGAGTACACATTCGTAAGATATTTGTGAAGGGAAAAAATGCAGCATAGCAGCTCAAGAGGAAGTGCAAAAGGAGGTACTGCCCGGTTTCAACTCCCGACAATGACATAGGTTTTTTACAAATCTCACTTTCTATTGATTAGGCTAAGATTAAAATTAAATTTACCTCCTAGACAATTGTCTAAACGAGAATTGAGGTACTTTATGATGGGGTTGATCCCTTTTTTTGAGAAACAAAATCAATCATTAACCTAACATTGGGTCTCGCAAAATAGTGTTACCCCCACCCACTCCATCACATCATGGTTTAAGGACATTATTGCTTCTCTCCCTTATTATAAGGGAGGCTCAATCCTTCCATACACATGGTTGCCAAACTTTTCTACTTTACTCCACTATCCCTCTTCTTTCTTCCTAGAGCTTCAAGCTCCATTAATGGCTATGTAAGTCAAGCTCATTCACTTGTATAAATCATGACGCTTTCCTTGTATTGGACCTCAATGTCATGGGATGACTCTGGGCGCATATGGTGATCCGTTTGAAAATTGACATCCTACCTTTTTCGGTCATGTTTACATTCTTTTTTCAACCCTCATCCTCTATCTTTTCTAATCACTTTGCACACTCACCCTCATTTTTTTCCCACCCATATTACACCACCCCTCTTATTCCAACCAAATTACATCAAGGTTACATAAGGGGGAAAATTTGAAATTCAGTACCACTTTAAATTTGTCTTAATTCGTGGGAAGTCATGTTGGGACTCTAGTTTTAGGTACACATGAAGTATAACACTCTCATCGGTATGGTACTGCTTAAAAAGATCCATTGTTTTTATTGATTTTGTTTACACATAAAAAACTATTGTCCATTATAATCCACACATATTATTACTATATATCTACACATATTTCATATATATTTTGTATCTAAAAATGGGTGCCATGTTCATGTGGATTTATTTTATATCAAATGATGTTTTCAATGGAGTAGTTTTTATACTTTTAAGTGATATTCTCCCTTAGATCTTTTAGATATGAGAAAAAATGTGGGAAGAAATTTAGATGATTTTTGTCACCCACTCTGCTTAGGCGAAAGGAAAACACAAAATGCTTCTGTGCTCGAGGTGATCAAAGAGCCCCGCCAACATTGCAATAGGGAAAGAAGTCACTTTCCTCGAGAATGCAATGCAGAGTCATTGTATTTTCTCCAGTACTGAGTTTTTTTATTTTGCATGAGAATTTATTCTCAGAGCAAAATATACATAAAAAAGATAAAGGATTTTATATATATATATATATATATATATATATATATATATATATATATATATATATATATATATATATATATATATATATAAAAACACATAAGTTCCTTAAAGTTGTCCTCAACCATGCAAGAGTAAGCATGGGATCCCAAGGTCAACCCCAACGCCTCACAATAAGCATTTGGGTTTACTCTGTAGTAGATCCTGACGTCTTTGGCAACAACAAGGGATTTATAGAGCTCTCTTATGCAACAAAGATCTTGAACCTCAGAATAAGCATGTGTGTTTACTCTGTAGTATATCGCAACGTCTTTGGCAACAATAAGGGATCTATAGACCTCTCATATGCAACAAGATCTCGAACTTGTAGATAACCACAATCCTTATTGCAATGACTATCGCATGGTCTAAGTTGCCCCACACGCTAGTTGTCCACATGTAATAACATCTACATGTAATCCCATCACATCGTGCGACGTCAAGGTAGAGTGAGGTGTTTCAAATCGTGTGGGAAATTCTACACGGGCCATTGCAGAGTAAAAAGCCATCATAGAATTGCGCGTTGCTCCAAAGCTTGATAGTGGAGATACCACACATACACTTATTAGCATTTCAAGAACTTGAACAACGAGGTGAGGTGGTTGATGGATGAATGATCGATGTGTTGTTGTCAAGTCTCTATGGCAAACTATCAAAAACTCTAGCAAGGCCCATCATCCCGTGCTCAAGAATTTTTTTAATTTTCGTATTAGAGCATCATCTTAAAAGATGTATTTCCATGTAATTTAGCATAAAAAACACCCAACAATTTATTACAATCTTACAAAAATGAGGATTACACATTGTGTATGTAATCATTCATTTGTAGTTAGAGATTTGAAATCACAACAATCAAGCCTCATAGACATTGTGGTCACTCGACGAGGCAAATACAAGATCCCAAAAATGATAAAAGCATGTAAAAAAATTTACTCCAACCGTCTCATAATAAGATTTTATTTCTTTTTTTTGTCTAGCCTAATAAAATTATATTTTCCACATTTGAAAATAAAATTATGGTCCCTATAATTTCTTTCTCCTTTGTATCACTTTCTATCCCACAATTTTTTTTAAAGATTATGTGCCAAGTCAAAAGTAGAACTCTTTTTACGAGGCGGAGAAATAATCAAGTACTTAAGGAAAAAACACCGGCAATAGCGAGATAAATATAAATTTGGTCTGTTTTGTGATTAAAACCTAGTCAAAGTTGCTAATAAGTTATTTTTAATTCATAACTCAACTAACTTATAAGCTACTTAGCATTCAATTCAAAAGAAAAGAATATTTTATTTATAAGTAGCTTATAAGCTAAGAATTACTTGCAAGTAATAAATCAATAAGCATCAACATAGTCAAATACCCGAAAGTATAATTTCATTCATCATCTTCATCCTTCTGAAAACTAGGAGTTTACAGTGGAATAATTACCCCTTTTGACTCAAGTTAAGTTGTCTATCTGCTATTCACAAGAACAAACATCATTTATTTTATTTTTTCTATTTTTGTTACTTATTTAACAAAATATTATAGTTATGTTACTTCTTATTTCATAGATTTTTTTTTTTAATTTTCTAATATTTAAATTTGTTTTCAAATTTTCAATCCAAATCTCAAATATGATATATTGAAAATAGCTTTAGCCACACATTGTAAATAAAAATAGATAATGTAAATATGAATGGATGATGTATTAATCTAGGGACTTAAGAGCATTTACAAGCATTTACAATGGGGGTTTGGTGAGGTGGGCCGTGGGAAACGTCTAGTGTTATGGCGCGAGTCAAACTCTGGGATTGGTTGCGGTGGCGTCCAATATAAACATCCGTTGTGCCTTTTGTTTTTATTTCAATTTTTTTTTTAAATTTTCAACACTAAATTCACATCTCCCACTCCGATTTATCTACTCTCATCTCACTATCATCTCACTCGCAAATCTCGACGGCAATAGCTTCTCCGAGCGATTCGACATTGATGAGGGTGCTCAAATATGCCACCAACTCTACTAATTTTCACACTAATGTGCAGGGGACGCATATGGATGATAACTTTGCTCCGTTCTTGAGGTCCAACAATAGCCCCTAAAGCCTGTCGTTAATACGGAGGACTACGACATTTCTGAGTTGGAGCACATCACTGAGGGCCAACGTAAAGGGAAGGACAAAATGAATGACGAGCCAAAGAAATATACCACGATGAAAACTCTATTATTGGTGAGGTTTTACGTCGACGTGTTGGAGGATGCCATCATTGGGAACTTCCAAAAATACAAAATGTTTTGAGAGCATGTTATTGTAAAGAACAATGCCGGGAGGCCAACTGTTCGCCCGAACATGACAACAAGATGCTTCGAAAACACTAGGGATGTGTGCACATGGAAGTCTAACAATTTAGTGACATGTATGCCAATGTCCATTGCATACAATGTGTCATGAAGACATGTCCCAGACTCCCAGTGGTTCCAACATCAATGACATTCTCTTGAAGGCAATGATCCTTTTTTCAGTACGGAAAAAAGAAATTCCAATTTCTGAATGTTTGGAAACTTCTTGGGAAAGTCCCAAATTCAACGTTGGGGCATATGCAGAAGAATCAGCGTCGAAGTAAAACAAACTCTCTAAAACTAGTTCATACTCAACGAGGAAAAGCAAATAGTCCATCGACCTCAACACATTGGGACATGATTTCAATGCAATTGGCGATGAATATAGCAATCAGAGCTATTTGATACGAACGAGGCAACAAAGAAGGCAAAGGCCTCGGCCCCCACACCTACCAAACCCAACGTTAGACAAAATGTTTACTTCCACAGAGAACAAGCAACACCGCCCCCCAGGGCTTCAAAGCGGCGTCACTTCCTCGGCGTCAGAAGTTTGACGCAACCCCCTCCCCTAACGGCTATATTAGCCGTTGCAACCCTAAAAAGAAATTAATTATTTTTTTTATAAATTTCAAACTCCATCTCCTTCCATTCTCACACCTTTCAATTTCCAATTCTCACAAATCTTCTTCACATCTTCAATTCTCAATTCTCCAATCCTCCAATTCGCTTTTCAACACGAATCCCTCCGGCTCTGGTTTTTTCCTCGACGATGTCGAGCCTAACGAGCACATCGTGTGGATCTTCCAACAATACAGGAGCAATTCAATGTTGTTCGAGACGCAACCATTGGGGTATGTCTATAAGCGGGAGTTAGTTTCAGAGACTCAATCGGAACCATCCGGCACCAAAAAAGTGCATGCCGGAAGAGTCACAAAGCGAAAGGCACTCAAGCGATGACCGAGGCGGCACAGTCAGTCCAAAAGTGGATGCCGGAGGAAGAATGCTCGTTGGTAAAAATTATTCGTAAGATATTTGTAATTTTATTTATATAATCGTGTTATATATTTGTGTTAAAAAAATTTCGTGTTTTACTTTTTAAAGGTTTGGAGCAAACGAAGGATGTGATGTGGGATCGTATCGAGGAGAAGTTCCTTACAAGGAACAAGGACGACTCGTACCGTACGCATGACCAACTCACTTCCAAATGAAGCCATATCAACTGTAAAGTCCGAAAGTTTATCGGAGTTTACGAGGAATGCGCCCGGTTGTGGGATGAACGACACCGAGATTCATTGATTTGTCACGGCCCGGTATCAAGACGACGGGCACCAAGGCAAGGTGCCCATCAACCTTTGGAGGACTTTGAACTGTTCCCCGGAATGGCAATAACTCAACAATTCTGATGCCGAATCCTCAAAGAAAAGGTCCTCTGTCAACGCCGAGGTTGAGGTTGACGACCCTATCGGTTTATCCGAACAAAGGTCTCCCTTCAATGTTGCGACGAAGACCTCATTCCACGGCCGATCAGAAGAAAGAAGGCAAAATTCATTGCCTCGGGTTCTGGAGAATCCGACTCTGATTTCGCTTCTTCTCGCAACGATATCGGTCGGGCAATGGTTGAACAATTTCGGATATTCAATATTCGAGAAGAAGAGAGGGCGAGAAGAAATCTTGAGAAGAAAGAAATTAAAATAATGGAAACCGACCTTGATACGTTATCGGGTTTCAAAGGTATGATATTCGATAAACGACAAAAAAAGATCAAGGCTAAATATAATTTACCTTAGCTTTTTCAATTAATGTATTTTTTTAAATCATTGTCACTTTCATATTTTTTAAATCATTGTCACTTTCATATTTTTTAAATCATTGTCACTTTCATATTTTTTAAATTTAATGAATGTAATTTTTTTAAAATTATTGTCGCTTTAATTTCTTTTAATGAATGTAATTTTATAATTATTCTCATTTCAATATAATTAAATAATAAAATATTTAAAATTTATTAATTTAGTTTTAGAAGATGTATATTTAAAAATGTAAAAAATAAAAGTTTGAGACCTTGAGCTTCAAACCTATTTCCACTGAATCTATGAGCTAAATTAAAACTGACAGAAAAATTTTGAAAGCTCAGAACTTCCCAGGCATTTATAGTATCCTTAATATCAACCACCTTAGGACACTCATGAAAGAGGATATGTTAGAGATGTCGAAGAGGAAGCGAAAATTCCACAACAAAATAAGCACTACCCACGCCATGATATGAGGGAAAAATCAAGTGTTCAATTTTTAAGTTTTAAAGCACTTTTTAATTTTTCTCACTTCTATAAATGTAATATTTCACATTTTATTATTCCTTCCATCCATCAAAGATTTTCTCATTGCGTGTTATAAAATTTGACTGAGTCTATTTTGAATTCAATATATTTGATTATAAGAATAAAATTTATATAGTAAAAAAACATGAAAAATTCTACAAAATTAGAAATCACAACACTATTTTATTTTATGAAATGAATAGTAAAAATAAGCAAACAAATTAAATAAAATTTGACTCTGTGAATAATGTTTAGAAAGATATATATGGTGGAGAGAAAGTATTATTTATAAATAGAATCTCAAACAAAACCTTCTAGACAAACTTTTGACGCTGTGATGATCAACGTCAAAGGTCGATTTTCCATCTCTTGAATTATTTATAAGCCACTTTATGGAAATAAAGTCCCAAAACCAAAAAATGAGGGACAAACTTGAAAAAATTATTTATAGTTATGACAAAAGTTAAACGGCTTAATTTACTGAAAAGATTTTTTTCTAAAAAAAATTTCTCTGTTTCTGCATCCTTAGATTATTTTCACCATATGCTTAAAATCATTTTTTTTGTAAATTCCAATTGCAGGTCCAAATCAATACGCGCAAATTTTTCAAAGGATACACAGAAGGAAGAACATATGAGAATTTCTGGCCAGAGATGCTGAAGCTCAAAGACTGGCCACCATCTGACAAGTTCGAGGACCTATTACCGCGACATTGCGATGAGTTTATCAGTGCGCTCCCATTCCAAGAGTATACCGACCCTAGAGACGGAATCCTTAATGTTGGTGTCAAGTTGCCACATGGGATCATAAAACCTGATTTAGGTCCTAAGACCTACATTGCATATGGTGTTTCAGAAGAACTCGGGAGAGGAGACTCCGTGACAAAGCTTCATTGTGACATGTCTGATGCAGTATGGCCACTCTCTATGATTTGGTATTTTTGTTTTGTTTTACTGCCATCTTTTCTGAAAAAAAGCAAATGATTTCAGATAAATATATTGACGCACACGGCAGAAGTACCCTTAAGCAAAGAACAAAAGTTTGCGATTGAGAGATTGAAGGAAAAACACCGAGCTCAAAATGAGAGGGAACATGTTGTAGGAGCAGATCATGTTTTGGATCATGATGATCACCAAAGATTTTCATTTGAGGGGTTTGGAGATGGGAGTGGAAGTGCACTTTGGGATATATTTAGAAGAGAGGATGTACCTAAGCTGAACGAGTATCTTGTAAAACACTCAAGAGAATTTCGACACACTTACTGTTGTCCTGTCAAAAAGGTAAAACTCGATCTCATCAAATCTTTTTCTTCCTCCCCATGATCAACATTTTCTGATTCCTTCCTTTTCTTGCAACCAAACAGGTCTTTCACCCTATTCATGACCAATGCTTCTATTTAACATTCGAGCACAAGAGAAAACTCAAGGAAGAATATGGTTAGTGTTCATATCTCATCATTTTGAAGGTTGGGAAAAAATATTCATTTCCATGAAGATCAAACTAATGATCATCAAATGCAGGAATAGAGCCATGGACATTTGAGCAGAAGGTCGGAGAGGCCGTGTTCATTCCTGCAGGTTGTCCTCATCAAGTCAGAAATCTCAAGGTAAGCCTATCACTCTCTCAAGTTCTCTTCACTTTTTTATTCACCGTGTTGTGCACCTGATTGATTGATGACACTGTAATATGGGACCCGCACTCAGTCGTGTACGAAAGTCGCAGCAGACTTCATTTCTCCCGAAAACATCCAAGAGTGCTTCCGGCTCACAGAAGAATTCAGGAAGCTGCCAAATAACCACAAAAGCAGGGAAGACAAGCTTGAGGTACCCTATCTGTCTTTCTTCTGCAATCCTTCTTTTTCTAAAGAAAAAAAGGACACTTTAAAATAATTTCATTTTGATTTAACAGATAAAGAAAATGGTTCTTTACGCCATCAACCAAGCAGTTCAAGATTTGGAAAACCTCAACATCTTTCCCAGCAATCTGTGATCAGTCATAACAGTAGAGTATTTATTTATTTATTTTGAAGAAAAACACTCTCCTCTACAGTGAGGCGTAGTTTTTTTTTGAAATACGGATAGTGGAAACCCTCACTCGAATCTATAGAAAAGAAGCTAAACTGTAATAAGGTCATATCGGACCCGTTCTTTTGTAAGGGAGCATATTTTTTATACACTAGTGTTCAAAGTTTATAAGAGTTGAATTCCATGAAACTCGGTGCGGGAACTTAATTTAGGATGAATGCATATGTAATGTTTTGAAAATAAAATTGAAGAGATTTCTTACACCCATTTGAGTTGATGTCTTCTTCACGTGTCATATACATACTCCTGCCATTGAGCCACCACTCCAAAGAGAACAACCTAAAAATCAAAGCTATAGCCATAACCCTCCAAGTATGGGATAGAGAGTTGTTCTTCTGTCCCTAAAATATGTCAAAAGTGAAGCCCTAGTAGTTAGTTTAACACAAAAAAGAACTAATTCAGATAATGAGCCAGGGCATTGCCTTTTAACACAAAAAAGAATTAATTCAGACCAGGACATTGTCGGTTTTTTTTTGTTTTAAAACCGCAACAGTTTTGTTTTTAAATCTTACTCAATTGGTCAATTAAATACGCCCTTACACAAAGTGTGTGTTGAGTTTGAGGCGAACTTTGGTCATTAGTTAATTACAAAAAATTATTGAAAAAAGTCAAAAGTGGACAAATACTCTAGAACAACAACAACCCAGGTGAATCCCACAACAGTAGGGTCTGGGGAGGGTGTGTATACGCAGACCTTGCCCCTACTCGGAAGTAGGGAGGCTGTTTCCAAGAGACCCCCGGCTCCACCTGCACAATAATATGGAAGGGAACACAGTATAACACAGATAAAGCACCAAGTACAAGCAACAAGTACAAGCAATAGTAGAAGATTCCAAACGAATTCAGCACACTACAAAACAACCTCTACAACACCAAGCTCCTATCCAGCTACTCTAATTCTAGTTTTCCAAAGGTTCCTATCTAGGGCCATATCCTCAGTCAGGTCGAGAAGTCCTAAATCCTGCCTAATCACCTCCTTCCAATTCTTCCTAGGTCTACCTCTTCCCCTACTTCCCCCGATAACTGTAATCCTCTCGCATCTCCGTACAAGGGCGTCAGGATCCCGCCGTCACACATGGCCAAACCATCTCAACCTCGCTTCCCGCAACTTATCTTCCACAGGTGACATGCCTACCTGATGTCGGATAACTTCGTTTGAAACCCTATCCAACCTTGTCTTCCCATCCATCGTAACATCCGCATCTCCGCCGCATGCAGACGACGCACATGAGTCTTCTTAACCGCCCAACACTCTGCCCCATATAACATAGCAGGTCTGACTACGGATCGATAGAACTTACCTTTCATTCTAGGCGAAATCTTCGGATCACACAAATACTCTTGAACAGAGGTAGAAATCTGAATATTCTGACCAGATCAAAAACTGCTTTAAATATAACTAAAATTAGATCAAATCTTCAAATAAAATCAGATCACATCAGGCGAAAGGAATGCTACCTATAATTAAATATAGAGGGAGGAGACCTGTATGGTCATAACACACCACCGACCATCACAATCCACAGTCAATGCCGCCAATCACACTCCGCTCCATTAATGCCTACCGCAATTTTAATGTCCTCATAATTTAATATCTTTTGTCACCTCCAATAATATTCAGTGCAATGTCTTCTCTTTAATGTCCATCGATCCATTGCACATTGGAGAAAAATCACAACCCACCGACTTAGTATCACTCATTGTCCATTGATAGACATTGTTCACGATGTTCAATGTTCATGTATCCATGAAGAAAAAGAAACATATCAGCACCGTTCAATGTCATTGCGGTGATGGTCTCGATAGTGAAGATTTTTTTTAAAACAAAAGATAAAAAGAAGAAACAATCTAGGATCCAAAAATCTCTTCGCAGCTCGACCCAAATGGAATTCTACTTCATTTGTACTAGTTTGACTGAAGCCCATCAATCACGCTAACTAGTGCAACCTATAACTGTGCGACAAACAACAAGGATATATAGTCTTGATGGCCATGGCGGAAGAGACAAAGTCCGTCTTGACCTCGGCGATGGTGGTGATGTCTAGTGGTGGCATGATCTATGGAAGGTGTTTAAGATGGAGCGGTGGGAAGAGAATGAAGTGGGTTGAAATGAAAGGGCTAAGAGTAAGGTGCATGGAAGAGAGTGAAATTAAAGTTTGGATTAGTTTACATTGCATTCCCTCTATCGTGAAATATTTGTCAGCTATTCTGTATTGGACTCTTCAACATATTAGCCCATTTCCTTTTAATGTCATTCAGTTGTTATTCGCAATCTATATCTTGCTTTTGCAATCCACAGTGCAAACTACCAAACCCTAGATCTCCAACGATCTAAGATGGGCTACAATTCTAGTTTCTTTTATGATGATGGATTTGCATATTTCCAAAATCCACACCGCACATTGCCAAACCCTAGATCTCCAACACTCTAAGATGGGTTAAGGTTCTGATTTTTCTGTGATGATGGATTCACATCTTTCCTTGAAATAAAGATCAAAGACAATGACCCTGAAAAAGATTATTTAACCAATTTCTAAAACAAGACATAAGGGTTGGTAGTAAGACACTTTATCCTGTCAAAAAAGCAAAGTTGATGTTGGATAAAACTAAAAAAAAGTAGAAAGAAACTAAAAGAAAATTTTAAAAAATTAAAAAGACTTGGAAAAATTGAAAGCAACTTAAAAATATTAGAAAATTATAAAAATTGGAATTAGGAATGAGCAAAAGAGCCAAAACGGTCCGAACAAAACAATCCCTTAGAAAGACTGATGTTATTTAGGAAGAAATTAGCAATTCTTTTTTTCAAAATCAGTCGACTTGTCTCATCTTAAAAAGCATATTAACTTTTTGAGACAAGTAATCTTATTAAGATTCACCCAAGTCCAATTTGTCTTTATTTTTAATTGTAAAATTTTAAAATATTTTGTTTTTAAAATAAAAATAAAAATGTACTTTTGATTATTTAATTTATTTGATTTTGATACATTGTTGACTTGCGAAAAACCTTGTAGTTCAATGATATCAAGGTGACTCTTCCAAGCAGAGGTCACGAGTTCAACTTTTTTGTTTTTTCCTTTACTTTTCTAATTCACAATGCCATTTCAGAGACATGACCCTACCAACGTACTCTTATTTTGATATTTTAGTTAAATTTTACTCTTAGTAAAAGAGATCTATTTAAAATTTAATGGAATTTAATGGGAAGGAGAATATAATCTACAAACTACATCATAAAGTAAGGGAAAATTTAACTTAATAAGACCCTAATATTTTCAATTGGAGTCCCTAATGTTTTTAGTTAGAGTCCTAAACTATATAGGTGTTCACCTTTTTTTACCTCAAACAACAAAAGTAGTTGGAGGCCTTTCCCCCCAATTATTACATATTAGGGGTGTAAACAGATATAAATCGGATCGAATGTGCCATTACTAAATCTGTATCCGTTTATTTTTGTCGGATATCGAATTCGGATATGGATCTTGACGGATACTGAAAATCAAAACCGTATCCGCATCCATCGAATATCGGATATATTTGTATCCGTTTCCAATTTTTAAAATCAAATTAAACAATACTTTAATTTTAAAGTAGATTAAAGTCAAATTATTATTAAATCAATTATAATTTGGTATGGAATAATTATTTTCTTTGTTTTCATGATTTATTATATCGTATTAAAACTTCATATAATAAAAAGATATATACACAACACACTTATACAAATATTTTTATGTCTGTACATATTTTTATGTGTATACATTTATTTTGTTTATAAAAATGTCTTAAATTTTGAAATATCAATAGAAAAACAAAATATAAACATAAAAACTTAGAAAAAATTATATATAACAGATCAGATATTCGGATAAACGGTTATTTAAACGGATGCATATTCGGATCAGATTTTAAACGGATCGGATATACAATTACTAAATCCGTATTCGTTTAGTAATCGGATACGGATAATATCCGTTTAAAACAGATGCAAATATTTCTTCTTTAAACAGATTCGGATGCGGACGGTAATCAGATTTTCGGGTATCCGTTGACAGCCCTATTACATATTAAGAACTTGTTTAGTAACGGCGTTAAAAGTTAGAATTAACAATTCAAAAAGGCTAAATGGCAACAATTATTTTTACCATTTCCAAACCTTATATTCATCATTAAAATTTTGTTCAAAACACTAACGATAATCGAAAATCGTAATTCCAAGGCCTAGATCCACTCAAGAATAAGTGCAATAAAAAGATAATCCAACATATACAATAAAAAATTCATTTATATTCCCTACATCTCAAATGAATTATATTCTTCAATCAAACGCTCAAGAACTCCTAATTTTTAAAATAATTTTATTTACAAATTAGTATAGAAAAAAATTATATATTTCAAAATTATATCAAAAATTCTAATTTCTCTGTTTTTAAAAAAGTTATTATTTTGACTAATTGGTGAAATAAGAAGTATATATTTATAATTGACTTTTTAATTTAGTTTTGATGTCATGAGTAAAAGTAAATGTAATGGATAAAAATAAAATATGATTGAGTAAGATAAAATAAAAATAAAGGTAAAAATAATTTTTAATAAAAAGTGAAGTGCTTTGTAGAAAGAAAAAAATGAAAGAAGAAATATTTTAGAAAACAAAGAGTACAAATAAGAGTTTATAAGAATAATTATACATACATACATATATATATATATACATATATACATATGTATGTATAATTTCATGAAAACAAATTCAAACACTGTTTACAACAATTGATTTCAAATGGATCTACAACTTGATTATC